GCCATTAAACCAAAAAACCCATTGTTATCAACCAATAATGATTTTATTGCCCAGCAATAATGGCAATGATCAAAAACACAAACAAACAAACAAAAAAAAAAAAAACGACGAGAAAACCAGAAAACAACAACCTGCTGACGAGGGTGTGGGGAGACTGGAACTCTCACACACTGCTGGTGGGATTATTAAATGGTTGAACCACTGTGGAAAATGGTAAGGCACTTCCTTAAAAAGTCAGAAATACAGATACCTTATGATCCAGCAATCCCATTCTCTAGATACATATCCTAGAGAAATAAGAGCCTGACACGAACAGATATAGGCACATTCATGTTCACTGCAGCATTATTCACAATAGCAAAAAGACGGAAACAACCTAAGTGCCCATTAACGGATGAATGGATAAACAAAACTATGGTACATACACACAACGGAATACTACTCAACAAAGAATAATGATGAATTCGCAAAACATCTCACAACATGGATGAACCTGGAGGACATTATGCTGAATGAAATAAGGCAATCACAAAAGGACATATACTGTATGAGACCACTACTATAAAAAGTCAAAAAAAGGTTTACACACAGAAAGAAACAATCTTTGATGGTTACCAGGGATGGGAGGGGGAAGCGGGGAAAATCACTAACTAGATAGTAGACATGTATTAGCTTGGGTGAGGCAAAGGGCAATACACAATAAGGCAGATGTCAGCACAACACGGCCAAGGGAAAGGAAGACACTGGGAAGAATGCAAGAGTAAAAGGCAACAATGATAATACTATTCCGTACACAATCCTGCAATAACAGAAACAACAAACAATAATTTACGAGTGAATACATAGGCAGATATGTAAGCTGAATAGGTGTGGGATGGTGTATGGGAGTACACCAACGGACATATATAGGTTTAGCAGAGAATACTTCTACATACGTATTTGTATGTGTTCAAGATATCCATGTATATAGCAGAGCACATGGGGCAAAGTTATGAAAACTCCTTAGCCATAACCAAACACCTTGAGGGACTGAGTCACTGGACTTGAGGGCTTAGGACCATAGTCTCAGGGGGGATCTAGGTCAATCGGTATAATACACTCCATAAAGACAATGTTCTACTTCCTACTTTGGTGAGTAGTGACTGGGGTCTTAAAAGCTTGTGAGCGGCCATCTAAGATACAACTATTGGTCTCTTCCTGTCCAGAGCAAAGAGTAAAGAAAATCAAAGACTCAAGAAAATAATTAGTCCAAAGGACGACCGGATCACATGAACCATAGCTTCCACTAGCCTGAGACCAGAAGAATTAGATGGTGCGTGGCTACCACTACCGATTGTTCTGATCGGGATCACAATAGAAGGTCTTGGACAGAGTGGGATAAAAATGTAGAACAAAATTCAAATTCATAAAAAAGACCAGAATTACTGGCCTGATAGAGACTGGTGGAACCCCTAAGACTATTATGGCCTTTAGACATCCTTCAAACCTGGAACTGAATCCACTCCTGGAGATCATCTTTTAGCCAAACAATAGACAGTCCTACAAAGTGAACAATAACACCCATGAGGAACATGGTCCTCAGAACAGTCAACCAGACCAGCCCAAAAGGGCAGCATTTGCCCAAAAACAATGTTCAGAAGGTAGGAAAGACGGATGAATGGAAACGGGAAAACCAGGGAGGAAGTATGTAAAGTGCTATCACATTGAGGGGATTGCAACTAATGTCATAAAACAAAATATGTATAAATTGTTGAAAGGGAAACTAATTTGCTCTGTAAACTTTCACCCAAATCACAATAAAATAAAAAAAAAATCAATATAACACACCCCATTAAAAGAATAAAGTAAAACACAACACAATCATCCCAACAGATACAGAAAACACATCTGACAAAATCGAGCACTCTTTCATGATGAAAACACTCAACAAACTAGTTAATAGAGGAAACTTGCTCAGTCTGGTAAAGGTGGTTATGAAAAACCCACAGCTAACACGATGCTTAGTGGTGAAAGGCTGAAAGCTCTCCTCTAAGATCAAGAACAAGATGGGGGTGGCTGCTCTCACCACTGCTATTCAGCACTGTGCTGGGCACTTCAGCAAGAAGAAAAGAGAGAAAACAAAAAGAAAGAAAAAGCATCCGGATTGAAAGTGAAGAAGTAAAACTACTGCTATGTGCAGATGACATGATCTCGTATATAGAAAATGCTAAAAAACATCTGTGCGTCATGTGTGCGTGCGTGCACACACACACAAACTATTAGAGCTAATAAATGATTTTAGTAAGGTTGCAGAGTAGAGAAACAAGTCACAGACATCAACTGCATTTCTATACATTAGCAATGACTAATACAAAAGTAAAAATTAAGACAACATTTCCAGCTACAGTAGCACCAAAAAGATTAAAATACTTAGGAATAAATTTAACCAAAGAAGCACAACACTTGCACGTTGAAAACTACAAAACATTGTTCAAAGAAATTAAAGCAGAGACCTAAACAAATGGAAAGACATCTTGCATTCATTATTTGGAAGACTTCATACTGTTAAGATGGCAATACTCCCCAAACTGATCTATAGATTCAACGCAATTCCTATTAAAACTTCAGCTGCCTGTTTTGCAGAAATGGACAAACTCATTCTAAAATTCATATGAAAATGCAATGGACCAAGAATAGTCAAAAGGAATCTTGTAAAAGAACAAAACTGAGGACTTATACTTCCTGATTTCAAAATTTACTACAAGACAGTGTGGTACCAGCACAAAGACAGACATACAGACCAATGGAATATAATTAGGAATCCAGAAACAAACCCTTATATTTGTGGTCAACTGGTTATGACAAGGGACCTAGCAACAATTCTGTGAGGGATGAAGAGCCTCTTCAACAAACAGTGTCGGGACAACTGGATATCCATGTACGAAAGAATGAAGCTGAACCCCCACCTTACACTACATACAAAAATTAACTCCAAATGGATCATAGACCTAAATGTGAGAAATGAAACTATACGATTCTTAGAAGAAAACACTGAAGTAAATCTCCGTGCCCTTGCGTTAGGTGTAACACTAAAAGCAGAAGCGATAAAAGAAAAAATTAACTGGACTTCAACAAAGTGAAGAATGTCTGTTCTTCAAATGACATCATCAAGAAAGTGAAAAGACGGCCTACAGAATGGGAAAAAACATTTGCAAATCACACGTATGACAGAGGACTTGTATCCAGAAAATATAAAGAACTCTTACAACTCAACAATAAAATGACAAATAACCCAATTTAAAAATAATAACAAGTGTTGAGCACGATGTGGAGGAAACAGAATCCTCATATACAATGTGTACAGTGGTGCAGCTGCTTTGAAAAACTGGTAGTTCCTCGAAAGTTTAAACATAAAGTTGCCATATGACCTACTAATTCCACTCCTAGGTATATGCCCAAAAGAACTGAAGCTATACGTTCACACAAAAAGTTGTACTTGAACATTTATAGCAGAATCATCAATAGTACCTAAAAAGTGGAAACAACCCAATGTTTACCAGTTGATGAATGGATAAACAAAATGTGGTATATCTATACAATGGAGCGTTATCTAACAATAAAAAGAAATGAAGCACTGATACATACTACAACATGGCTAAGCCTTAAAACATTATGCTAATTGAAAGAAGCCAGTCACAGAAAGACCATCTATTTTATGATTCCCTTTAGATGAAATATCCAGAATAGGCAAATCTATACACACACAGAAAGTAGATTACTAGTTGCCTAGGGCTGGGAGGGCAGGGAGGGGCTTGGGAAGAAAATGGAGGGACTGCTAATGGGTATTTTGGGGCTTCTTTCTTGAGGGATGAAAACGTTCTAAAATTAGCGGTGATGGCTACAAAACTGTAAATACACTAAAAACAACTAAATTTATGGTATGTGAATTATACCTCAATAAAGCTGTTCTTAAATAAAAAAATATGACTTTTATGAGACAACTGGATATCTGAATACTGGCTTTTTGATAATATTAAGGAATTATTGTTAACTACATTTAGGTTTGATAATGATACTTGGTTTCATTTTAGAAGGAGAAACAATTCTTATCTTTTAGAGATAGATATTAAAATATTTATAGGTAAAATGATGTGATGTCAGGATTTGCTTCAAATATGGAGATCCTGGGTGGTGGCAGAGATGAAACAAGATGGCGCGTGCTGCGGCGTCTGCGCACCCAACATGGTGTCCATGATACTATCTTGGCTACTGTTGTGTATTAGAAAGTTTCTATAATTAAAAGTTAAAAAAAAAAGACATTTACTAGATCACATTAGTAAATCTACCTCATTAACCTTATTGCCAATGACAATGCCAATATTCATAATGGCTTAACTATATAAAATAGTTTTAACACTACTTCTAAAATTCTGTGATTCTTCTTTTTGAGCCCTGAAGCATAACTCACAGTCACTGAATAATACGAAAAGTCAGTAGCTTAATTTCTATTACTTTATTTTGTTGCAAATTAAGTTTTTATGGAAAAAAGAGAGGCAATTTCACTGCAGTTATTTCCATGAAAGCAGTTAGATCAAGATTTTCCACTTCAGGGATACTATCATCCTCAGTGTTCCACTTGACTAAGTAGTAAAAGGGCAAATTCCTCTGAGCCTGTTTAGAATTAACTCAAGAATTAACATGCTAGGACTGGTCTTGGCCAACCTTTCCTGTAAAGGGCCAGAGGGAGGTATTTTAGGCTTTGTGGGTTGCATGGTCTCTGTTACGACTTAACTCTGCTGCTGCAGTGGGAAAGCAGCCATGGACAGCACATGAACACATGAGCACAGCTGTGTTCCAGTAAAACTTTAAGGATAAAAACAGGTGGTGGGCCAGAGCTGTCCTGGGAGCTGTAGTGTGCCAGCCCCCGAGCTAGGGGTTATTAGCTCCCGGCGGGGAATTAAGGCATGGATAATAACGATCGTGTGGTGACTCTGCACTTGGACACCAAGCACAGCACTCACGGGTGTCTGGATCATCATGGCTCGCTGGTCTCGCATGGTCCTGACAATGTCTAGAGGATACACTGGCTGATTGCATTCGATGAGACACATGGCTGTTTCCATGGTAATAAGAACCCCCGTCCTTCCGATCCCAGCACTGAAAAGACAAGCGTGGGGCAAGGTCTTACCGTTACTTTTCTGTTAGACTTGCTGTAGCTTCTGAGTGCTAAATTAAAGTACTGAATCATAACACAGTAGAAGAACAATTTCATTTTTAATGTTTTATATGACAAAAGTAACAAACCAACTAGAGAATATTTGAAAAAAAATTAATTCACTCTGAATTTACTCACTTAATATAGATAAAATGGTTTACATTTTCCTCCCACATTAGTTGTAAAAATATGACTTTAAAAAGTTACAATTCAGTTTTAAAAATCTGAACAAGGTACAGAAGCTTATAGGAGCAAATCCCCCTTTAAAATGCAAAATAACAGTAACAAATCATTAACAAATGCACAAAAGACAACAATATTTGACACTCTTGTATAAATAGTTTTTTAACCAAAATTTAATTTTAATTAAATTCCTACCGCCGAGATAGTCAAGAACAACGCACGGAAGTGTTACTCTCTGAGAACTGGGTACAGTCGCTATTAGGAGATGAAGGGTAGAAAGTGATCAGCTGTGCTTCACCATTCCCGTCATTCTGCCTCTCAAGTATTTGGCCTACAATCGGTTTTGATGATTGAGAAGTTAAAAGTCTCCTCCTAATTGCTGCTGGGAAGCTTAAGGACGGAGTGATACCTCAGTCCATGCTCGGAGTAAACCATTCTACGACAAAGGTAGGCAGGATAGGGAGGGCCTGGGAACAGTTTCTGTCCCCTAACCTCTGGGTCAGTTGCAGAGAAGGCTGGAGTCACTGCATTTGGCCCTCTGTGGGTAGAAGAGACCACTGTTCCCCTGGAGTTCTTGGAAGTGGCATATCCTGTGATGTCAACGGGTAGGGCCATTCCAAGAGAGATGGAAGTACCCACTGAATATCCTACAAGGTGTCACAAGCCAGGAGGGAGTGTCTTGCTAGGAGTCAGAGAATCCATACCTTAGTATGAAACCTAATGCATACAATATTATATTCCATCAAATCTATGACTCTAAAAACTTTAAAAACATCCCAATTTCAGAGACATCAAAATATGGACAGAAAAAAAAAAAAAGAGCTTCTAAGTGTTAGTGGAAGAAGGTATTATTTTCACGTCTTGTGATAAAGCTTCTGTCAGTATGTGTTGGAACATACCCTTTGCCTTCTACCTTCAGAGCACAGCTTTGATTTACCTGGAAGTACAGTGGCTCCTCACAACAAAAAACACAAAATAAACTACATAATCCCTTTTGAAAATGATATTCATTTATTCATAAACATTCATTTATAAAATCATTCATAGAAGACAGAAAACAGAATACCTGCAATGAACGACAATTGGCTCTTCCTTGCCGGCTCTCTTACTTCGTACATGACAAACGAAATTCAGAAAGTCACTCGAATCATCCGGAACTCCATGGTCAGGCCAGGCTACGTACTGGAGCTGAGTGAGCGGACGACTCTCGTTTTTCTAAGTGCAAATAACAAATCATGCACTTTGACTTAGGAACTATCTTTAAAATATAAATAAAAATTCCTGTCATTTCAATTTTAGAAGAAAAGCAAAACTAACCCCTCCCCGTCCCCCTAAAACAGTAACATGTAAACTCACTTAACCCCCAAATTTCTACGAAATGGAAAGAAATCATTTTATAGAAAAAATTATATCCATTTAAGTAGTTGCTACTTGAAATCAATACTCTTTATAACTCAGTTTTGATATCTGTGAAGTATTAAGATGATAATCAAGTAAATGAGAAAAAACAAATTAAGATCCCGAGAAAGCTTATGAAACTAGAGAATTAGTAGACGAGCAAAAACGGTAAGGAAAAAAAAACCTGGTGAACAAAGTTGGGCTAATCCTGACACAGCACAGGTGAAATCTGGGAAAATGGAAAAACAGGATCTCCAGCTTTCAGAAAAGACCATGCGAGTAAAAGAGAACTATGAATATGCGGCAGGTAAGCATTACATCAGAGAAACACACACAGCCTAACTTTCGTCAGCAATTTGGAAAAATGAAGAAGTCTCTTGACGGCTTGCCACTTTGTTACGTCAGACCACAAGTTGTACAGTACACACCCCAGCCCTAAACTCATTCTGATGAAATCTCTAGGCCATAAGATTTTGAAAGTTGATTTAATTTTTTATTTTCCATAATTTCAGCTTTCGTCAATGCCAGATTCCCTTTCTGTACATCAGCACAGCTTCTAGCACCTTCCTTCTTGGTCAGTAAGGTTCTCTCTTGCTGGGCTCCTTTAGTCATACTCCTGGGGAGCAGTGGGGATGTAGCTCCCATTTCCAAAGGCCTAACCATTGATGAAGCAGAGCGCTGGTGGCACAGTGGTTAAGCGCTTGCCTGCTAACTGAAAGGTCAGTGGTTTGAACTCACCAGCAGCTCTATGGAAGAAAGATGTGGTAGCCTGCTTCTGTAAATAGTTACAGCCTTGGGACTCCTATAGGGCAGTTCTACTCTATCCTACAGGGTTGCTATGAGTCAGAATTGACTCGACAGCAGTGGGTTTGGTCTGGTGTTTCTGGAACCATTGTTGAGACAGGCCTGGGCCTTCAAATCTTACGCTGTTTGCTCTTCTCCAGCAGGTACTTCCTTCCGTTGTTGTTAGGTGCCATCAAGTCGACTCCAACTCACAGTGACTCACCACGACACAGTGCAGCCGCCCCAGAGGGTTTCCCAGACTGTCATCTTTATGGAAGCAGATCACCACATCTTTTCTTCCACAAAGGCTGGTTTGAACCAATTTTTCAGTTAGCAGCCGAGCTCTTAACCAATGCACCACCAGGGCTCGCTCTTCTTCTTCTAAACAACAACACAAAAACCAAACTCGCCGTGGGGTCGATTCCGACTCATAGCGAACCTATAGGACAGAGCAGAACTGCCCCATAAGGGTCCCATGGAGCGGCTGGTGGATGTGAACTGCCGATCTCTTGGTTAGCAGCTGAGCTCCTACCCGCTGCACGAGGGCTCCTCTTCTTCCAGCCCCCTCAAAACCAAAGGTGGCTGGCAGGGCAGTACCTAGCTGCCGGCAGTGAAAGGGGGGCACACTGCCTCAAGTATGCTGACAGGATTCTGAAAAGAACCAGCATGCTGCCTTCCACACGTTACTCCAACTGGACTACTAGGCCTGCATTTACTACCCGGTTCCTGTTCCTGGCAGATTTGGAAGTCAAGGCAATAAGAAGAGCAAGTTACTAGAAAGCTACAATCTGTGTGTCTGCTGTCAAAGGGTCCTGCCCACGTCTGCTTCCTCATCAATACTAAGGAGACTGTGAAACTGCTCACCTCTAACCTTTCGAAAAAGGGAAATCATTTGATAGCGCTTAGTTGTTCTTGCCATTTTCATATACCCATTGCTGTCGAGTCAATATTACTTGGAGAAAGAATTCTTTTTTTTTCTTCTTATTGCTGTGCTTTAAGTCAAAGTTTACAATTCAAGTCAGTCTCTCATATACACCCATTGTTACGTGACCCTAGTTGCTCTCCTTATACTGTGTTAGCACACTCCTCCTTTCCACCCCTGATTTCCTGTGTCCATTCAACCAGCTCCTGACCCTCTCTGCCTTTTCATCTCGCCTCTGGACAGGAGCTACCCATTTAGTCTCATGTATCTGCTTGAGCTAAGAAGCACACTCTTCATGAATATCATTTTATGTCCCATAGTCCAGTCTAATCTTTGTCTGAAGAGTTGGCCTCAGACATTGTTTTAGTTCCGGGTTGACAGAGAGTCTGGGGGCCATGCTTTCTGGGGTCCCTCCAGTCTATGTCAGACCATTAAGTCTGGTCTTCTTACTAGAATTTGAGTTCTGCACCCCATCTTTCTCCTGCTCCATCTGGGACTCTCTGTTGTATTCCCTGTCAGGGCAGTCATTGGTGGTAGCCGGGCACCATCAAGCTCTTCTGGTCTCAGGCTGATGAAGTCTCTGGTTTATGTGGCCCTTTCTGTCTCTTGGGCTAATACTTTCCTTGTGTTCTATGGTGTTCTTCATTCTCCTCTATTCCAGGTGGGTTGGGCCAATTGATGCATCTTAGGTGGCCGCTCGCTAGCTTTTAAGACATCAGACATCACTCACCAAAGTGGGACGCAGAACATTTTCTTAATAAATGTTGTTATGCCAGTTGACCTAGATATTTCCTGAAACCATAGTACCCAGACCCCTGCCCCTGCGACTCTGTCCCTCAACGTGTTTGACTGTATTCAGGAAACTTCTTAGCTTTTGGTTTAGTCCAGTTGTGCTGACCTCTCCTGTATTGTGTGTTGTCCTTCCCTTCACCTCAGATAACTCTTGTCTACTACCTACTTAGTGAATACCCCTCTCCCTCCCTCCCCACCCTCATAACCATCAAAGAATGTTTTCTTCTGTGTTTAAACCTTTTCTTGAGTTCTTATAATGGTCTTACACAATCTTTATCCTTTTCCAACTGACTAAATTTACTCAGCATAATCAGTTCCAGCTTCCTCCATGTTATGTTTCACGGATCCATTGTTGTTCTTTATCATTGCATAGTATTCCACTGTGTGGATATACCATAATCTGTTTATCCATTCATCCATTGATGGGCACCTAGGTTGTTTCCATCTTTTTGCTATCATGAACAGTGTTGCAATGAACATGGGTGTGCATATAACTATTCATGTTACAGCTCTTATTTCTCTAGGATATATTCCAAGGAGCAAGATTGCTGGATTGTATGGCACTTCTATTTCTAGCTTTTTAAGGAAGTGCCAAATCGATTTCCAAAGTGGTTGT